CGTACAGTGCTATGCAATCTGTCTTCTGACATTTTATTCCACTTTTAAGGATCACCCTATATAATCATTTTATCACGAAATTTCGTTCATTCGTGTATAATTATTTCCATATTAAATCAATTATTAAATCGATTAAAAATGGCACAAATTTAAAGAAAAAGAGGTTATGTCGTGATTTCGAAGAATGATACTTATTTAATATTTTAAACAGCAATTAATATGGTGGTTGATATAGTATAGTTTGTTCATATATGAAAATTTAAAAATACGCGTTAACGCAGAAATTTAAGAAAATTGAAATTTAATAATGTAAGGTGGTAATGGATTTTATCATCAGCGATAGAGTCGTAATTATAGAATATTAGTTTAGCTGATTTCGATTAAACGAACAAGCACGTTTAATGCTGCATTTAAGGAGATTCACATAAAAGTGCACAAATAGAACCTTTATTGCGTCAAGTGGCTCGATATATTTTCGGACGTGGCTGTAGGTTGCCGCCATTACACAGCCTTACGTGCGTACAGTGCTATGCAAAAGACTCGGTCTACATACCGAATAGAAACTTATGAATGTGCTGAGTTTAAGCAATTTTTAAATTTTGTTATGAATTAATGAATGCAATTAAGTAATTATAATAATCGATAATTAATTTAATTTTATTTTCCGAATGACTTTAATTATTCTAATTCCTATATTATTTTCATTTTTTTTAAATTGAAAGCTACTATTACATTAATTATTTTTTAGAAAAGTACTTAAGTCAAGGATAAGAGCGTTGAAAACAGCTCTTAACTTTGAGAGGTGGGAATTGTACTTTTTGGAATATTTTAGAAACCCGAAAATGTAAGAAAATTTCAAAATTTGTTATCAGAAGTGTATATGAATAGTGTATATATTAATACATATCCTCAAATGAAAAAGAAATGCATTAAATACTTTTTATAAAATAAGAATAAAATACATAACAATTCAAATCAATTTTTCATTGACACCCAATATATTAATAAAAGAAATAACTTCACTCTGGAAGAAAAGAGTATTCAGTATAAGTACTTTATTACAACGGTTCTCAAGCTCTCCCCTTAAGTACCACATAACCTTTACGTGACTCGCATTCCTTTTTATAACTATTATAAAATCTTCTATTGTGTTCATATATCACTGTATATATCATTTTTAAATTTCTTACAATTCGATTGTATTCACTGTACCATCTAAGAATATTAAATATATAGGGTGTTCCACCAAAAAACAAATCGAAAATAAAGAATAAAATTTTTCGATTCGAAGCTTCGTTTTCGAGAAAATCGACTTTGAATATCCACCAAGTGTGCGTGCACTTAACTATGCCTTATATGGATAGACCATCAGTACGTGAGTATCAGTGATACAATCGCGGAGGGTGTGATTCTACGTGAAAAAACAAATCGAAAATAAAGAATAAAATTTTTCGATTCGAAGCTTCGTTTTCGAGAAAATCGACTTTGAATATTCACCGAGTGCACGTGTACTTAACGTTGGCTAAGGTGAATGGACCACCAACGAATATTCAAAATCGATTTTCTCAACAACGAAGCTTGGAATCAAAAAATTTTATTCTTTATTTTCGATTTGCTTTTTCACGTAGAATCACTCTCTCCTCGGTTGTACCACGGATGTTGATATGTTGATGGTCCATACATCTAAGCCATAGTTAAGTGCACGTGCACTCGGTGAACATTCAAAGTCGATTTTCTCGACAACGAAGCTTCGAATGAAAAAATTTTATTCTTTATTTTCGATTTGTTTTTTTACGTAGAATCATCCCCTCTGCGATTGCACCACCGATATTGATGGTCCATCCGTATAAGCCATAGCTAAGTGCACGAGCACTCGATGAATATTCAAAGTCGATTTTCTCGACAACGAAGCTTCGAATCAAAAAATTTTATTCTTTCTTTTCGATTCATTTCTACATGTAGAATAACTCTCTTTCCGGTTTAGATGGCTGTATGCAGTATTGTATTAATTGTTAATAATAATTCTACCATATATAGTAATTCTGAATATAATTCTACTATACTTACAAGCGATAGCTGATCCATTCACTGATAATTCTAGAATTGCTATAGAATTTAGATGATCAGTGATCATCTATAGTTATATTGTAGTACTGTATAGATGGCTGACTACTGTTGCTGTGACTCCCTGTATATACCATTGATTCTTAGATTGTTTATCAGAGGTTGAGACTCATTATACTATTATACCTAATTGAATATCTATAATATTTATATGACAATGATCATAATTTCATTACAATATCATTCTTCATATACCTTATATATTGTACTTATATACTTCTATCATACATTTTTCCTTTCTATTCAGTTAATACAAGTTAGTCCTTTGTTAACCTTCATTAGGCTGTAAATTTCAAGGGAACGATCCAGAGCAGGAAAAGATTGTTTAGATAAAATGATATATCTTAGTTAAATACTCGTTTGAAATTTTAAAATCAAACTCTGTCTCATCCTACGTAGGGGATGAATGGAGATCAACCCTAACACGTATTTAAAGGCTTCTGGGATCCATGGAAGAGACCAGGGGGATTAGGTACCTCAGGAAGTTTGTAACTCGGTAACTTAAAGGCGGTGGTGTGTTTTACTCTACTCATTTACGTAATCACGATTAGATTCAGCAATCTTCTCTTCGTCACGCGATACAGGGTTTTATATTTCAACTTTTCAAAACTTTGTCACTTTTTGTAAGAGGAGGTGTGGAAATATTGCTTCTGTCATATGATCATTATTCGAAAGTCGTTTTTCGATTTTACAGGATTTTGGAAAAGAGATAACATAAGAAAGGAGGCAATATGTTGCTGGGAAATTCGATGAACAGATTTTCTCATTTTTATCTCATTTTTCATTTCATTTCTTCTGGATTTGCACTCCTGAGGTCTCAAGCAATCAGTATACCATTCTATACAGTGTATCTTATATATCAGGGAACATTTTCCATCACATGCGAATGAATATTGTATTTTACTATAATTTTTTGAAATTGTGTATATTATGATTTTTGGAAATTGAATATTTAATTATATTTTTAGAAATTATCTAAAATGCTTGGAAGTTAAGTGTGTCATATCTTTCAAAAGTTAGATAATTCATTATTTATTTGGAAAATTGGATATTACAGTATAGTTCTTGGAAATTTGCAAATACTCCTGGATTGTCAGGATATTGTAATAATTAAATAGAAAATTATTTTCTAACGTAAAGTTGGTATTTCTAAATTTAAATTCATGGTACAAGGATATTCATGCTCATCCCTTATTCAATACGTTTCGTACTTCCCTTTGGTATTGTAGGATACCATTTCGGAAAGAAATCGTGAATCGACCATTGCCAACAAAAGCAAATTATAAACCGATCAATATTTTCTAGAACCAAATGGAAAAATTATTTTGGGTAGCAAAATTAAATTGCGTGGTCCTTACCGAGAGGTGAAACGTAGGTTAAGAAAAGCATAGAAGCAGGACCCTTGACGACCAAAACAGAGTCCTTAGAAATTAGTTGTGACCGGCACCGGTGTGAGTCGCTCGGTATTGGAAGGAGAATTAATCCTTTACCTGCCACGATCCCCATTTGGGGATTTTGAAATTTTACGTACACCACTCGGCGCCAAAAATATATTTGGTACGCCTGACAGTTTAGTTTTGTTCTATATGTATCAATCAATATCGTATGTAGCAAAAAGTGTGCATTCTGTGCTTCGTTTCTATGCAACAAGCGAACAAATTTGAAATTCGCGCGTAAGTTGAACGGAACAGGATTGTCATATTTGAAGCGTTATATTTTTGGTTTGGTTTTTATATTATAATCAAATAACGTACATAAATATGTAATTTGGAGGTTATAGTAACGATTTGTTACTTACTCAGTCTTTTGTTTTTTATTGAAATGATTTTCTCGATCATTTTATAACGATGCCCACTTTGGGACTTTTTCAAAAATATCAAATATTTTCAAAACAAAACATAATTTGAATATGATTCTATTGTTACACAACCCTATGTGCATATATATAACTTATCCGACCAAAAATTTCAATAAAATAAATTTGGTAGTTAATTGGTTAAATTAGAGTGCATCTTTGTGTGTTTTCGTTGCGTTATTCTGGTGTTCTTTTCCTAAATTAAATTAGTTTTATGAGTTTTCCGTTTATGTTATTCTAGTCTTGTTGTTCTGTGAATTTTTGGTCTCTCAAAACCAGTTTTCGCCATTCTAAAGGTATTCAATTTTAAGAGCAACAGAAAATTTGGAAAAGCAATTTTCCCAAACTAATTGCTAGTGCGAAGGTAATTGCTTAGATAAAAAGTCTGGCGGTTTTTCTCAAGTGTCCTTAAGTTAGTGCAAGATAATTCCAAGATAACCAAGATATCTCCCAAATTCCTTATCGTTCGTAGGTTTTTAAAATTTCCGCGAGCATAACATTAATTTAGGATTATGATAAACTAATTGCTCAGATAGGGATGAATAAAAAATATGACAGCCCGATAACGTCAGATATATTACAGATTGCGAAAGATTATCGGCGTCGTATCATTTCCTTCATTGCCGACAGGAAGCAATTTTTTTTAATTGCCACTGGCTCGATAATAAAAACACTGGGCATATCTCTCAGATCAGCCTAAGATTAATCGTGAACGCACAGCTCGGCCTGATTTATACCGACAATAATTTTTCTTCCTTTCTCATCCGTAGATATCGCCCCAACCCTGATACGAATCCAACAACGATAGTATACATGCGCATATTTCAAGGCATGGACACACAGATACGTAACTTCCAAGTCACATGACGTCACAGAAGGTTAGAGACGACAGGAAGGACAAAGATCCTGGAATTAGGGTGTATAGTGACCCTAGGCTTTGATGTGACCGAACTTGTCCTGCAAGTATTTGTACAATGTGCCAGGATTGAGCGAAAAAGGACCTGGAAGAGAGAGAGAGAGAATATGCAGTGTTAGTATTATGCATCGGTGCCACGTTCGCTGTCCCAGAGGTACAGGAATAAGGGAGACTGACTTCACCTTTGATGCTTCCGAAATCCCTACCTTTAGGTTCCTGGCGGCACAAGTTCACATACTAGTATTTCAACTTACGTCGGCGCTCTTTTCATCTTGTGTTAACACAGGGACTACCAGACCAGTCAAAATAACTGCTTTCAGGCTTCTTGTTCCTGCAGTTACTGAAAACATACAGCTGCTTTTAGTAGAGCTAATATTGGCTTGTATTTTAATAGGAACATAATCATATCTAACTGTTTATTACCATTAGCTCAATTTTTACTTGATGTGCAAGCTATATAATTAGGTACACATTATAACCTATAGGTTGATAGTTGCAATGTTCAATAATCGCTATAGCTAGTAATTTATGGCTCTATCTCGGTTGCTTCCTATGAGTCCTGCCTGTTCTCTGTCACACTTCCAGTCAGTAACTGCATGATAGTGTCAGAGACTGTGAATTAAGTGCTAACTTAGCAACAGTGCACAGGTGTTATGTATTGCATTACATGAAAGATGTCAATAATAAAGTGAATAGTGACAACTCTGAGTAAGCTTCTGAGCTGGATTTTTATCCTGTCCTGACTATTTGATTTGGTTAATTATATCTTTAATTAATATAAATCAGTTTTAAATCTGCTTTTCACCTTTGTCAGATGTGACATAGTTCCATAGTAGGTCTAGAGCCTAGATTATGAATAGTTGACATTGATTTTTGTCAGTTCGTGTTATCACAGGCTATGTTAGAGACTGTGAACTGAGTGCTCACTCAGCAACAATGCACAGTATTTATGTATTGCATTACATGAAAGATGTCAATAATAAAGTGAATAGTGACAACTCTGAGTAGCTTCTGAGCTGGATTTTTATCCTGTACTGGCTATTTGATTTGGTTAATTATATCTTTAATTGATATAAATCAGTTTTAAGTCTGCTTTTCATCTTTGTCAGATGTGACATAGTTCCATAGTAGGTCTAGAGCCTAGGTTATGAATAGTTGACATTGACCTGACTATTTGATTTGGTTAATTATATCTTTAATTGATATAAATCAGTTTTAAATCTGCTTTTCACCTTTGTCAGATGTGACATAGTTCCATAGTAGGTCTAGAGCCTAGGTTATGAATAGTTGACATTGATTTTCATCAGCTTGTTATCACAGGCTATTCATATTCGGACAGATTTGACATTAAAAACCTGGCAATTAGGTAAATGGAGAATTTCGATACAACCTATTCAAGTTTGAAGGGCTTTAGAACACATTTGACCATTAGCTGATTGGGCTTGTCGTTCGCAGATCAGTGTAGTCCCCTGTCTTTTGTAGTGAAGCTGCGGATCGCTCAATGGCAACAAAATGACGGTGTTGATTTAGAGTTTCGATGTCATCGAACGTCAGTCTCATCTTTTAGAGAAGATTCGCTTGCTAGGGAGTCTCTATAGAGACGCATAATCGATGTCGAGGACTCCGTTGGTACAGGGCGAGCTTTAAATACACGCGTCGAGTGTTCGACAGTTCCCATTGGTTGGAAGAATTTTATAGGATGGAACCAAAATGGATTCTTATTGAAAATCTATTTAGATCTCTAATTGGTACTGAAAATAGATAGTCGACCTGTAAATAATTTTTATCATCAGTAGATTATATTTGCACCGATGAACGGAGAATTTGACGATAATAGAATCTTAGAGCTGGAACCAAAATTTGTTGTCACCATGTATAGTTGAAAGCCACCCCAATACACGTAACACGTGATGAATCCTTACTGAAAATCCATTTAGATTTTTGATTGGTCTCGCAAATAGATAGTTGGCCTGTAAATGACTTTTATTGACGGTAGATTATATTTGCATTGATAAATTGCGAATAATTTGACAATAATAGATAGTTTAAAGAAAATAGCGTTTGGTATTAACAGGAATATTAAATTTCGAATATTTATTATTTAAGTAAAAATATATGGAAGCTGGGAAATTGTTTTATGTCGGATTTCTGGCTTGTGAGCACGTGTCTTATGGTCTTTCTATTTTTGAAAGTACACGAAGCAGGAACGACGATGGAAAATGCCATCGATTAATTATAGCTATAGCTAATCCTCGGCGTTCTTTGTGTTCTCATTACCGTGATACCATTAATATTTTATAATGAAAATTATTAAGTACTAGTGAAATTTGTATGAAAAAGCAACGAACAGTTTCGTCGATGTATGTTAATGACTGGGGAAATATAACACGAAGGTTGACAAAAAGTGCATGAAAAAGCTATCACAATTTTTTAATAATCATGCTTCATGTATTTATGAAACGTTTGTTATATTTCAATATTTTCTAATCTTCTTTACCGACTGAGACTCATCTTTCATATTGTAGAAAGGAGATATTTATATGAAAAAGATATTTTGTAAAAAATATTTACACTAGTTTATTTATTACTAAATATATACATATTGCTATGTATTTAATAATAAATAGATATATTGTATTATTACTTTCATAGATAATTTCTATATATTACTATTTATATATTACTATTATAGTCTTGGTCATCTAAAGAAATATTATTAAATAAAATTACCTTGCAAAACTACAAACAAATACATTTAAAAAGAAAATTAGAAAAATATATTGTGACAGAAAGGTTTGTATCAATAGATCACAGGTATTACGAACATAATGAAATCAAAAAGATTCATTTATATTTGTCTACACTATTCCTCTTCATCGCGTTAAAAAAGAGAAAAAGCAAATTAATTCAGTAAAAGAAGATATTCAAAAAGGCCATTTTTGGCATCGCTTGGAACTGAAAAATTTCTTCGGGACCTTTAAGGGTATCCTCCAAGGGACATAAAATTCCTTTATCACTTTGCCGAGAAACGATGGGAAAGTTGTGAAAAATGAAACGAAATATGTGAAAATGAGACTGATCAAATACGGGGCATCCCAGCAATAGTAGTACAAAATTCTACGTGAAAAAGCAAATCGAAAATGAAGAATAAAATTTTTTGATTCGAAGCTTCGTTTTCGAGAAAACCGACTTTGAATATCCGCTGGTGGTCCATCCGCTTTAGTCAAAGTTAAGTGCACGTGCACTCGGTGAATACTCAAAGTACACATAACCTATACGTGACTTATATTCCTTTTTATAAGTATTATAAAATCTTCTATTGCGTTTTTATATCACTGTATATATCTTTTTTAAATTTCTTACAATTCGATTGTATTCACTGCACCATCTAAAAATATTAAATATATAGGGTGTCCCATCAAAAAACAAATCGAAAATAAAGAATAAAATTTTTCGATTCGAAGCTTCGTTTTCGAGAAAACCGACTTTGAATATCCACCAAGTGCGCGTGCACTTAGCTATGCCTTATATGGATAGACCATCAATACGTGAGTATCAGTGATACAATCGCGGAGGGTGTGATTCTACGTGAAAAAACAAATCAAAAATAAAGAATAAAATTTTTCGATTCGAAGTTTCGTTTTCGAGAAAATCGACTTTGAATATTCACCAAGTGCACGTGTACTTAACGTTGGCTAAGGCGAATGGACCACCAGCGAATATTCAAAATCGATTTTCTCAACAACGAAGCTTGGAATCAAAAAATTTTGTTCTTTATTTTCGACTTGTTTTTTCACGTAGAATCACCTTCTCCTCGGTTGTACCACGGATGTTGATGTATTGATGGTCCATACATCTAAGCCATAGTTAAGTGCACGTGCACTCGGTGAATATTCAAAGTCGATTTTCTCGACAACGAAGCTTGGAATCAAAAAATTTTGTTCTTTATTTTCGACTTGTTTTTTCACGTAGAATCACCTTCTCCTCGGTTGTACCACGGATGTTGATGTATTGATGGTCCATACATCTAAGCCATAGTTAAGTGCACGCGCACTCGGTGAATATTCAAAGTCGATTTTCTCAAAAACGAAGCTTCGAATCGAAAAATTTTATTCTTTGCTTTCGATTAGTTACTATATGTAGAATCATATACTATCATTGCTAGGACGCCCTGTATTTGGCAAAGTAATAAAGGAATACTTTGTTCATTGGAAAATGTTGTTAAAAGTCCCAAAGGAATTTTTTAATTTCAGGCGATGTCAAAAATGGCCTTTTTCAACATCTTCCTTTTCTTATCTTTAATATTAGAAGAAAGGATTAACGGGTAAACTGTTATATAGATATCATCCTCGTATCTCTTCTTTGCTCGACAAAAGCGAAGGAAACTTCTGTGGACGGGGTACTTAAAGCAAGATATAACTGGGTTATCTTTTCGCATATAATTGTTATTTGGCTGAATAATGCACCAAAAGTTTTGGAACCCTATATACTCGGCAAGGAAGGAAATATCGAATGCCCAAAGGAGACATTTACCACTTTAGTACTTCGATCGAAAATGATTCGTCGTTCTCCAGCTTCGTCAGCGCAGTGCGAGTACATGGACGATGCCGAAAATAACATCTTGTCCAAGCATCGATAATTATAATAGCAGGCATTAGCTCGATGAGCTCAGAAACTGGGCCTAATAATCACAGGGCGTTTAATTAACCTTCGAGTCTCTTAATGATCGTGTTAGGCACGAAGAGCGAGTGTACCCGGTAGCCCTGTCGCACGGGCGGACGTCCATAACCTCAAATTCGAGCGCGACGCTAGCCCCACGCGCGCAGGGACAGTACGTTAGCGGGCGTAGTGGGACGAGCCGATGAGAAATAGTATCGTAACACGCACGTTCTCTTCCTTTCCGCTCGCCGATACACGTACGAATTCGCCTAACAGCTCCACCTCCTTTCTCACCGGCTACTACTGCCTACTTCCACCCTCCTTCTTTCACTCGACCCGACTCGGTAAAGCTAGTGGCGCGGTGTGCGGCCGATCGCTATGGCACTCGATCGGCAGGGTCGTTGCGAGACCAGTCGCGACACCAAGAGGAAACTCTTCTGCATTTGCACCTGCAGCTACACCAGCGCATCCAGTCCCGAGAACGACGATAGGATT